CCACAGAGAGAGCTACAGCCACGACAAACACTCACACTACACACAAACATTTACAGGGACACTGCTAAAGGGTGACTTGGAAGAGTTAGTTTTACCACCCTCCTTAATTTCCATCTATTCTTTGATACAGACATTTTCTCAATCACAGGGAAATGAAACTTCAAGCCATCCTCAATCCAAACCACATTGCCACCCCCAAGACACTCCTTTGTAGATATTCTTGTGTCTCCACTGTGCTTTTGTTTTGCCAGCAGGAGGGTGTCAAACATTTTCAACTCTTGCTTAGTTTTGTCTACCAAGGAGAAGAAAGCATGGTATCCTGCCAGTTTGATTCTGCCAGCCTGCACCATTGCTCTGGTAGACAAGATGATCTTCGATAGGCATCACTCATTGCCAGCTACCCAGCTTCATGTGATTAAGTTCATTCCCCTTCTCTACCACAACCCAGCATTTTTCCATAACAAAAAAGATCCTCTACCAATAAAACATGAAAATATTTTGCTATCTACATTACGGAGACCATACTCGATTTTGTATATGAATTTATTCAGCTTAATGACGCCTTAAAATAGCATTTTTACCCAAAACAATTCCCATCCTCAATTTTTTCTTCCTTTGAAATTTTCAGAAGCTTTAAGTGGCACTTTTCAAATGGTTTGCCATTCTTATCTCAAGTTTTCCACAGCACTAATCTACTCAGATCCTGTAACGGAGCAACTCTGAGGTAACACTGAAAACTTTCCCGTTGCCTAGTGGTGCCTAGGAACTGATTATGTTTTTTTCTCTACCAAGACACAGCCAACTTCAGCGCTAATCCTACAGCTGTCATGTGGGTGGATGGGGTCACACGTTCTTCCAGAAGCTCACTGGGCTTATCTGGGCAATCGTGCTCTGCCCAGTTGTCTTTGAGAAATTTGAAGTTCTAGGAGGAACAAGCCTGTCAGACAAATGAGTGGTGGTGACCCCAGAGAGTCATGGCGGCAGCAGAGACGCCACCACCATGGCACCCGTGTGAGACAGGCTGCCAGGGCCTTCCCATGACCTCACAGAGATGGTGCCTCGAGGGGTCAGGGTTAAGACCTTCTTTCTTCTCCCAGCCTTTTTTTTTTTTTAATTCCTAATCAGGCAACTCTCTTAATAGGACTCACACTACCAACCTGGACCTGTTTATGGATCCAGTTCCAAAATGTGTGATTTGAAACTCTCCCAAACAAGAAGCTGAGCCACTATGTAGAGATGAAGAACGGTGACATCAAAGGTGAGCAGTAATGTCCGAGTCTCGTCCACTCCACATTTGAAGTTCAGTGAGGGATGTGCAGGATCTAACTAAACAAAACAGATAATTCCAATATCTAAACAAAATCAGGTTTGCCACTGACTCCCTATGTGATCCTGACTTAAACCTTCCTGTATGTCAAGTGTCTCATCTTTAAAGAGGTTGAAGTCTTTTCACTCAGTGAAGTCTAGGAGACAAGGGCAGAACCTGGACAGGAGTCCACGGGCTGCATACCTGCCATGTAATCAGTGACCCCCATCTCCAGCTGATTAGCTTGAATCCATTGCCTCCTCCCGAGTCCCACTCTCATTGTCTCAGCTTGGCCCTTGTTGACCTATGCTCTGAGCTAGTACAATAGTTCCTGTGTAGTTTCTGTGCCTCCAACCCAGTGATTCTCAACCAGGGAGCAATTTTGTTCCCCAGGAGATATCTGGCAATACCTGGAGACATTTCTGGTTGTCAGGACTGGCGGGGTACCCCTGGCATCTACTGGGTAGAAGCCAGGGGTGCTTCTAAACATTGTATAATACATGAGCCAGCTTCCAACAAAGAATTATAAAGTTCAAATGTCATACTGCTGAGGTTGAAAAGCTGCTTCAGCCATACCCGCCTCTCATCTGCCCTCTGCATATCACAAATGAGACAAAACACAACTCCGATCAGGTCATTTCCATGCTTGAAATCCTCCAGTGCCTCCCAGTTGCCCTCAGGTTAAAGTCTAAACTCTCCACCAAGTCATGTGAGACCATCGTGATCTGGCCCTTCCTTAATTTTCTGCCTCAGCTTTCACTGCTCCCATGACCCCTCTTCCCCAAAGCCACACAAGCAACCAGTGCAGGTGGACCAGGCCACCCACACTGCCTTCTGCCTGTCAGTCTCATTCATTCATTCCTGTGCCCACCAATTTTGCGTCAGACACTCTAATGAGACGAAAAGGGAACAAGATGCTCTCCAGGCAGCTTGAGGCGCTGATATCTCATGAGGCATTCAGAAAATTGAGCACACAATTCAATCCGCAGAGCCAGAACCTCTGTGATCCCACTGCTGTCTCCCCAACAGGCTGTGAGTCTCCGGGGAAGACAATGTCTTCATCTTTATAGGCCACAGCCACTTGCACATGCTTAGTATAGTCTACCAGTGGTATCCCTTGTCTCTGTCATAGCTGTATTAAGAAATGAATGAATTCCTAGCCTCTTTCAATTTTGCTCTTACACAGACATAAAAAGTACTAAAATATGAAAACCTAAGAACGAAACAAAATTCATCCCATTGTGTGTGTCTAGAAAAAGAACCCACCCACAAAGAGGGAAACATCTTTGTTTAAAGCTGTACTAGTCTCTCCCTCTCTTGTCTTTACGTATCAGAGAAATATAAATCTATACAATAAGTATTTATCTCTATGGATTGTCTAAAACCCATTGCCTGACACTCAAAGATGACACATGGAGCAGAATCTGACTCTCAAACAGTAACAGACATATAACGGTATCAAAAACACAGAACTAGGTTCACTGTGGGAATCATAACTTCGAATTCCGTGGTACTTAAGATGATTCTGTTCTCTTTTCTAGATTGGGAAGTTCATTCTATCTACTGGACATTTAATAAAACTATTGTTTCTACCTCTATTCTTTTAAGTTGATTCTATATTCTGGAGGTAATTATTATTTGCCTAAGCTTTAAAACCCACAAAGATGTCCCATAAGGGGATGGATTTTTTAGGGGAAAAAGAGTTTTATTAGACATTTATGGAGCTATTTTGGACTTCTTAAGAGAAAGACCTATCAGTTTGACTTCACAGTTGGTGAAAGAATTTAAGATTCTTCTTTAGAATTACTGGAAAAAAATGAAAAGGTGGCTTATGGATTCTATTATATGCCATGAAAGTTTTTTTATTGCAGTTAATTATAATGTATGTAGTATCTTTTGTTCACACAGTTGTCATGTTAAAAACATGTTAGCATTTAGCAGGGGAACCTCATTATAGAAAACGGTGCAAAGCAGAATTTTCTAATTGAATAGAGTGAACGGTTCAGGAGAAAGTTTGCCCAAGCTCCCCTTAAAATCTTGGGGGGCACCTGAGGCAACAGTGGCATGGCTTCCATATTCCCCATGGTAATTGTTCAACTTGTCTGGACTTCCAACTTTTATTCCCATCTAGGTTTCCATATTTGCAGGTAAGGCATAGTCACAATCCCAAGCTTGGGCTGTTCTTTGTCCCTTCCTCTTCTCCGTTCAACGCTGGGGTAACCGTGACCTCCAGAAAAAGTGATTTCCACTCAAACCAATATTTTAGACATTTTGGAGGAAGCCCAGAAAATCACTGATGATCACAAATGAAAGCTTTCATTTCACTTGAAAAGCATACAAAAACAGAGAAGGTGCTGAGAAAATGTAGACAAGCAACATGGACCCAGAGACCCTAAAATTAATTTAGCATAGAACCTATGCATACAGAGTTAGCTGTTAAGACAGAGTACAAGGCCATTACTTATAACAAGTCTGTTCTCATTATCATCCACTTGTGGCCCAGCTAGAGATAAAAGTGTCTTCTGAGGCCCTATCCTTTGTATTTTTCACACTTTCCTTCCATCCATGGTATATTTGGCATCCAGTTCCCCAGTTCTCCTTCTGATCATTAATGCTTTTTTTAGAAAAAAATTACTAAAATTCTTTACACTTCAGTGTTAGTTGCTGCTGTCTCTCCCTCAAGGATTTCTGCATCCCAAGCTATATTCATTATGGGCTGAAAAGCTTTCCCAAATGCAAGGAATTCTTGACTTGAAGCTACAGGTGAAGATGACCTTTTGGGGATGTAGTGACCTGCCCTCTTTAAACTGCCCAGTATCCAGATTTTAAATGATGAAACCAAAATCACATAAAGTTAAAGAAAAACATGTTATATTTGTATTCAGAGTTCCAATAACTTTATTTTGGGTGAATTGTTTTTTTAATTTACTTTGAAATTAATAAGAGTGTGAGATTTGCCTCACCAAGTGTCTGCAGCAAGCAAGTATGGTGAGATTCTTCCCTGAAGTAAGTCCTTAAAAGCACAAAAAAGAAGCTTAGAATATATATTATAGTCTCTAAAAATATAACAACTTTTGGGTTGAAGTAGACTCTGTAAATGTTTGCTTGTATCAAATCTATCAGAAAAAGACTTTTGGAAAAGGGAACAAGAGGCTGGAGAAATACTGAGACAGAAAGGGGATGACCAGTGTAGAGATACTTGTAGAGAATGCTTTATAACCCCTAATTTAATTGTGATTATAGTCAAAAACATAGCCATCCAAAAGAACTCTTTGCAATGACGGAAATGTTCTCGATCTGAGCTGCCCAAGATGGTAGCCATTAGCCACATGTAACTATTGAGCATTGGAAATCTAGCTAATGTGGCTGAGAAACTGAACTTTTCATTTTAACTAATTTAAACTTAGTTTTAAACAGCCACACGTGGTTAGTGGCAAGCATATTGGGCAGTGCAGGTCTAACATCATTACTGCTTTAACATTTAATTTTAGGAATACTTTGTACCAGTGAACTCTCTCCAGGAAAAAACTGATAGAACTCTCAATATAATGCAGTCTTCCAAACAGCTGATTCACAGTGTATGACTCACTCCATCCCCCACCCTAACCATTACCCAACCTACCCAGGATTTCTGCCTCACTCATTCCTCCAGGATAAGCCTGCAACCGTGGCCTCTGGAAGAAAGTGTACTTACCCTCACCTAGTGGCAGCTCCTCTTCCTGCTCGCTGGGGGAAGGGAGCAGGGGCTGCAGTGGCTCCATGTTAATGATAAGCTGTTTGTTCAAGGAGTGGGAACTGCGGCTTTGGGTAATGTTGGCTCTGAAAACAGAAAAAAGGCCAGGCAGGGTTGGTTTCCATTGCAAACACCAGCCCCTCCATCTCAGTAGGCTGCCCAAGCTGGGAACTGCCTGTAGACCCACACAGTGGGCTAGGCCAGTGGTAACAATGACATGACACTCAGGACACGTAGCCCTTTTTATCCTTAAGGTCTTGAAAAAAATGTCTGTGTGTTCTAATGCAATACAGTGAAAGAATATGTATTTCCCCATTTGTCATCAGATTTGGGCAGGCAGGTGACAACACAGGCATTTGAAAAAGATATGGGAGGCAGGTTTCACCGACAAGACAAGCAGAAAAGTGAATGAAGGGCATGCCTCAAAGTAATTTAACAACCACCAAAACATCAAAACCAAAAACCTGTACAGATGGCACAGATGTTTATAGCTCTGCGCTATCCTAGTGTCACTGGATATCCAACATTTAATATCAATGTTTAACAACCCAATTCAAATTCACACTCCACTCACCAACCCGCCACAGAACCCAGCTCTGCTTTTTCCTTTTGAAAGGAACACATATGTGTGTCAGTGGCTGTGACAGGTAGCAGATGGCAAACCGTGCAAATATCTCCTCAAGACTATTGGCGAGTGGCTAGGAAGCCCATATACACTGCCTGCTGCAGGGGAATGGCTGCCTGTCCTGACAGACAGGGAGGTGGGGCGCCTCTGGTGGGTGTTCAAGCACCCTGCCCCGCCCCATGTTTCCTGTCAAAACCAAAACCAACGCATCCTTCAAAAATGGTGTCAAATGTCTCCTTCCCTTTAAAGCTCCCTGGACTGGCCTCACCACACACACATACACACACTCTCTTTCTTGTTCTCTGCTCACACTATTCTTGCTTCATTCACAATTCACTGCATGTGTCTCTGTAATTAGGTTGTACTTATCATAATCAGCCCCACCTTGATAAGCACATTAAGGGCAGACTCACCTATCCATGCTTGTCTGCCATACAGCTTCTTGTGTGACCCAAAAGGGGTGTTCAGGCTTGAAACTGAATGTAATCCTGGCTTGACATAATTGTCATTGCAGACTGGCCAGAGTGTTCCCCAGGCCAGCTGACAGGACTGCCTTATAGCCCGGGCATTTCTGCTGGGAATACGGGGCAGGGGGTGTATCAGGTAAGATCAGGATGCCTGTTAGCATCTTGAATTGAAAACCCTCTACACACAGCTGGCACTGTCTGGAAAAGAACTTTAGGAGGGCTTGCTTAACCATGGAGTCCTTTTCTTCATTATTTCATTCACAAGCACTTACTTTGCTGTATATATGTATTGGACGTTCTGCCTTGTTCTGGGGAAGTGTGGTCCTCGTCTTAAGTAACTCTCTCTAGAACGATGGTTTTCAAACTTTTTTTGACTGAGACCACATTAAGAAATACATTTTATATCACCTCTGTGTACACACATACATGCACGTATGCAGGAAGACAGACAACTAAAGTGAATGTTTCACACAGTGATGATAACTATGGCTATGTGCGATTCACTGTTTTGTTTTGTTTCTGTTCTATTTCATTTTGTTTAAAGTGCTGGTCTTTACCTCTATTTCTACTTCATGACTCATTAATGTGCCACAGCCACAAATGGAAACACACATATCTAACGAAGGAGACTGATGGCTAAGGGTCCCACGGGAACACTGAGGAAGGGTACCTGATCCTGCCATGAGTGAAGGGACAGCAGGAATGACTTCCCAGGGAAGGTGATGCCTACGGTGAGTCCTGGCAAGCATGGGTTGTGTTTACGGGAAAAGAAGTGCAAATGGGAATTCCTTGCAGGGAGAAGATAGGAAGGAAGGAGTAAGGAGGGGAGATTAAATTTTATTGTGAACAATTCCTCCTTTTATTGTGAAGGGTTTTCATTTTTTGAACTTTCGTGGGCTTTCCACAGGTCCTGTGGCCCATTCATCACTGATTCTACTTCTGCAAAGCATAACATGTTGCCAGGTTTGTGTGAACCGTGTATGTTTCTGACCTCTGAAATGTCCATCTATCCACTCTTGCACAAACCAACTCTTGGAGTTGTGCTGTTCCATCTCCGATCACCCATTCAGCGTAGCTGACAGCAGCTCTACTCCCCAGGAATCACTGCATACGCTACAATAAGGAGGAACCTGAGCGAGCCTTTACGGAGGGTCTTTTGCTCCCCATCAGCCCTCTTCCCAATACTTTTCAGTTGGAGGTATCGAGCACCCTGCTGCTTGCCTCGCACCATTACAGTGTCTGGGCAGTTGCCTGGTGCTGAGACAGGCTGAGCTTACAAGAGGTGACCTCACAGGTGTGTGCTGCTTGGCACTGGATGGGCAGGAGGATGCTGACTTAGCCACTATGCGCACAGGCTCCTACCGCTTTGCTGTAGCACAGACCCATGGCCAGAGACAGGGGTTATAGGGTCTGCCTAGGGTTAGGCCAGATGACCCCTGCGGGGGACTGCAACCCTGAGACTCCCCAATGCTATGATTCAGAAATGAACATTACTTCCCTGATAAGTGCAAGACTCAGGTAAACCCAAAAGTGGATACAACTAGGTGTTTCCCTGAGAGCAGCAAGAATCCAGGGCTTCAGGCACAAGGACAGCCAGAGGGAAAAACTAAGCAAAATTAGAATCAAAATGCAAGACTCTCACCTTTCCCTACCCACTTGTTTAGACTCAAGGTTATTATTATTATTATTATTTTTTACCTAACTCTCTCCTTACAATCTTTTTAAAGGTGCAAACCGATCCAAGCTTCATTTGAAGCAAGAACCCACCAGCACAGCTGTTCTAACAATAAATATAAGTAAATATAATACTAGAATTCAAATGGCCCTTTTTTGGTTTACGAAGTGATTTGTATACACGTTACCTCATTTGTTTTTCTCAATGTGCCTATAAGATAGGCAAGAAAAATAGCATGTATACAGATGAGGAAACTGAACCTCAGTGAAGTTATAGAACTTGACTGAGAGACTCAGGTGGCCAGACTTAGGCCTCAAACCCAGATCCTCTGATTCCTAGTCCAGTGCTTTTTGCTGCGCTCCACACTGCCTCTCTGCATGATTGGTCCTGCAACGCCCAGAGGAGACTCCATGTGCTACCCCTAACCTCCCATCATTTGTGACTTTACAAGGTCCCACTGTGTCTCAAAGTTTTCTAAAGGATGTGCTGACATCCCAATCAGCTCCCACTCTGCCCCCAGGTTGAAATCTGAGTTTCTGAGGTAACAGTTTCTGTGGCTGGGGGGTCTCCCCAGGTCAGAGGAGGGTCGGCACTGTTTCTACACTCTCACAATCGACCCATTGCTGACTATGCAATAATGCCTGGTCCTCTCTGCAGCCCACACATGTGCGTGCTCCTGGCACAGAGCAGTTTCCAAACGAAACTGTCGTTAAGGGCTCTACTAAGGTACAAAAGTTTCCTTTGGGAAATGCAAGTAGATTCTAAGATTGTCTTCAAACAATGAGGACATAAAACAGAGCGGCTAAAATGAGGCTCTCAGCGTTCCTGCATCACTCCTTGGAGCAACAGGAAATGCTGCTGGCCTGCTATCAAAAACTCCATCTGAACAGACTTTAAGGTGAACTTGTCAGCTTCTATGTCTTGAATGAGAGACAATAATAATATCACTACTTCACATTTGTATGACCCTTTAGAATTTTTAAACCACTTTATTTTAATCCTCATAACAAAACCTAGAAGTCGGACAAAGTATTATTGTAAGTCACATTTTATAGATGAATAAACTTAAACTGATGACGTGAGAAGTTTAGTGACTTACCCAAGACTACCCAGCTGGTAAGCAACACAGCCAAGATAGAACCCATTCATGACTCCTAGACAGGTGCTCATTTCAGATGCAAATGCTACCTCAGGGTGTCCCCTGGTGGTGGCCACTATGCCCATGTGACTCACACAGCCAGCCCAGGGTTCACCGGGCCTCTGGGATCAGCAGGTGACTCTCACCAAGCAGCCATCCCAGGGGGCTCTGCATGGGGAGCTTGTCATCAGCAAAGATCAGTGAACTAACATGAGAGTTAGCATCTTCTCTTTTTGAAAAAAGAAAATTCCCAAGATAGTGTACTCGGTCTGTCTCTCCCTAGACATACACATCTCAGTGGAAGTAGCAGTTCATGAACTTGTCATTCTTTGAAAAGTCACCCCAATAAATTTAATTTTAAAAAGATCATAATATGAAAAAAAAAGTAGAATCTCAATGTAAGGAAAAGTAGGTAAGTGAAGCCTTGTCACTATTCTAGACTGATGGTCATCTCTGAACACCACTAGAGAAAAGGAGCTCGTTTACTATACTCTCACCTTTGACAGGCACATCAAAGAAGTTAAAATAATTCAAAAATAAAATAGTTATTCAAGACAAACAATTTCCTACTATGCCACTGGCTGCTGGGAAGGAACAAGAAGTTGCTACTGAAAGTGGCCCACATTGCCATGGCTCTGACCACAGTGTTGCCTCTTAGGAGGGCGAGGGCCCTGGGGCAGCACCTTGGACAGATCTCAGATCTCAGAAGTTCACAGAGGTGCTGCTGTCGTCTCACACTCCTAGCTCATGCATTCATTCAACAAGTCTTCACTGACCTCCACCTATGTGCCCAGCACTGTGTTAGGTGTTGGAGCGTATGGAGATGACCAGGACAGACACAAGCCTTGTTCTCCCAGATTTGAGAGATACTGGCAAAGAACAGAGGACCAGAGAAGCATCCTGAGGATGTGAACTCAATCGGCTTTCACATACACATAAAAGGGGATAGTGGAAGGTAGAGGTAGGGAAAAAAGGAGCATGTGAAACAGCGTCTCAAGGGCCTGTAAGTTCTTGTATACAGCAATATCCTGGGCAGGCAGGGGGTAGAAGATTCCAGAAAGATTCCTTACTCCCTTTCCCGCCGTACGGGATTTGGCAAAGCCAGGCTTTAAATCCCTCTGTCCATCCCAGAAGCCTCCTGGAGCCCTGGGGAGCACCCCGCTCACCTGTGCACCTCTGGCGGCTCTCTCTGAATTCTGGAGCTCGCCTCCACCACCTCTTTGGCAACCTTACCGCTGCAAAAGACAAAAACACACATCTGTGCACAGACGTTCAAAGCAGATGGAGAGAGGTGTGCCCATGTATTCTTTATGTAACTTCACAATGGTCTTACCCAGCTCTGGGAATCCACACCTTCTCTCCCTCCATGAGGGGACGTTACTATGGAGTTTGAGGGTGGCCGTGAGCGTAAGAGATGAGTGGAGTGGGAGGAAGGACCAAAGCTGGGCACAAGCCGAAGGGCACTGATTCACAAGCAAAACATTCAAATGCAAATGGCTGCCCCTCCCCAGCCCCATCACTGAAATGAAACCATGGGTACCCACCTATATCGAAATCTACTTCCTTTAAAAAATATCTTGCTGCTTGACACAGTCTTGATCTGGCTGGATTTTGCATACCTTTAAGAAAAAGCAAAGCAGAGGCGGTAATGACAAACGAATTACATTTTATTGTGTGAGTCGGCATACTGCATGCGCACACACATCCCTGAAAGAAAAGTTTCACAAAAGAATAGTTAACTTATAATGTTTGTATTTGCAATCTGATCTTTTCTATGCTCTCTCTTTTCATTCTTTCTAAATGTTGGTGATGATTTATACATTAGGTCGCCTAATCCGTCTCTAGGTCACAACCTGCAAAAAGGAACAGGCAATATTGATGATCAGAAGGGATGATTTCCCAATGTCTATTTGAAAGATATGGAGAGGGTGGATAGTGTCACATGGCATCATTTAGTTCCTCGCTATAAGGGCACTTTCTTGCCTGTGCCTACACCAATGCTGCAGCAAAAGTTTCCTGGAGGGGCCGACCGAGTGGCTTGTTGGTTAAGAGTTGGCTTGGGATGCCAGCTCTGAGCAGCAGGGCCTCGGTTCAGATCCCACATGAGGGCCAGTGACGCTGCACCCTCTACAGCTAAGATGGTGAACAACAGCTCAATCTGGAGCTGGGCTGCCGTGAGTCGCCCGCGATAGCGTAGGCTGCAGCCCCTGCTGCAGTGGGCTGCCGTAAAAAGCTACCGTGAGTGGCTGGCAGACAGCATGAGGGGCCGGCAGCTGGTGTGAGCTGCTGCAAGCTGCTGTGAGCGGCGTCCAGAGGCCAGTGACCAATCTGCCTCACCCGGGAAGAGCGCAATGATAATACCAACATGGGCCAGTGAAGCAACGTCCTCCACAACTAGACTGAAGAACAAAAGGACAGCAACTTGTCTGTTCCCCTCCCCCAACTCCCCAATAAAATCTTTTAAAAATATATAGTACTTTAGCCATGCAGATTCTCATACTTCAGAGGGCATCAGAATCACCTGGCAGGCTTTTGAAAACACAAGTTTCTGATTCAGTGAGTCAGAGCCCAGGAATCTGCATTTCTAAAAATTTCTTAGGAGAAGCTGATGCCAGTCCACAGACTCTACAGAGAATCACTATGTTCGAGCATTTAACCCTAGGTTGCACATGTTGTCATCTGGGAAACTTTTATTACTAACAACATCTAGATCCTTCAAAGCAAATTTTGGAATATTCAAGCAACAGCTTTATTGAGATATAATTCACATGCCATAAGGTTTACCCTTTCCTATTATACACTTCAGTGGTTTTCAGTATAATTCATAAAGTTAAAAAAGTCATCAAAAAACACTTGCATTACCCCAAAAAGAACGCCCCCCCCGCCCCCATATTCACCGGCAGTCACTTCCTGTTTCCCTTCTTCATCTCCTCCACTCCCAGTCCTTCACCACCATTAGTCTACGTTCTGTCTCTATATAGACTTGCCTATTTTGGACATTTCATATAAGTGGAGTCATATACTATGTGGCATTTTGTGACTGGCTTCTTTTCACTTAGCATAGTATTTTCAAGGTTCATCCATGCTGTAGCAGGAATCAGCACTTCATTCCCTTTATGGCTGAATCATATTCCATTTTATGGATATCCACATTTCTTTTATCCTTTCATTAGTTGGTGAGCATTTGGGTTTTTCCACTTTTTAGCTACTATGCATAATACTGAGGTAAACATTTGTATACATGTTTTTGTGAGGCTCCGGGCTCTAATTTAATAGGGTCTGGGATGGAATTCCATCAGTAGCTCCCCTAGTGATTCTAACATGCAGTCAGGGCTGAGAACCTCGGACTTAGAACCTTAATACTCAAAGTGTGGTCCATGGACCGTCAGCCCAGAATCACCGGGGAACTTAGTAGAAATAAGGACCCTCATGCTCCACCCAGACCTGCTGAAAATCAGAAGCCACATTCTAACACGATCTCCAGGTAATTCACGTGCTCATTAAAGTGTGAGAGGCACTGGTTCAGGGAGCTACTCTGGGTCTGTGTCTACCAGGCGTAACGTTGTTCCTCTGACAAAATGCACTGCCATCTCTGAACCAGAAATGCATTAGGGTCTGCCTTTATCCCCTGTACTCAAGGCCATACAAAACTGGGGACGGAGAGTCTCATTTGAGCCTGTACCACGTCTCCAGTGTCTAGCATAGTGTACAGCACAAAGCAGGTGTGAGATATAGATGTGTCCAATGGAAACACCAGTGAGCCACTAAACCCTTCAGTGTGTCCAGTACTTTCAGTCAACCAGCCCCCATAAAGTGTGAGCTCTGGTGCTTGGAGGGGAGAGCATGGGGAAAACACATGGCATAAAGGAAACTCTGAAACTGTGACTAAGTCTATGTCGGGGAACCCCTGGGTTTGAAGGGGGAGGGAAGTCAGTTTCTGCTTCTGGGCACTGTTCCCAGGCAGCAGAGCTCAGAGCCAGGGCTTCCAAACCTGATCAGTGGCCCTGGGCCAGCTGACAACTAGCAGCACATTCATATGTGGAAAACACACACGGGAATTCTTGGCCTCCGAGACTCCCTGTTCCCATGGCAGGTGAAGTGAAAAGGAGGGACAAAGCACCCCCGACCCAGGAAACAAGAGCAGGGCCTTGCTCTGCCAGCCGAAACCATTAAAGCATAGTGCCAGCCAGACAGAGCTGGAAGCAGGGCCAAGGCCTCTGCCCACGAAAGGGATGGAGCAGTGGAGGAAGCGGGCGCACAACCTGCTTAACAGAATCAGCACTCTTCAGAATCAAAGGAACTGGGCTTTGCAATCAAGTGGCACCCACAAAACTTCCATCGTTACTGGAGCGGATAGTCATGGCAGTCGTAGCAGCCGCCACCATTTATCGATGGTCCACGTGGCTGACAAAACAAAACACTGCAAAGGCAGGTATGACCAATTTCATTTTACAGGCGAAAAATAAAAGATGAGTCTCAAAGAGTTCGAGGGCTTTGTTCTGGGCTGCACGGCTAGGAAGCGGCAGCGTCCAGGTTCAAACCCAGGCCCCTTCCCTTCAAAGCCCACACTCGTTAACACTAGGCCACCGTGAGGCAAGCAAAGCATGCCTGAGAGTCAGGCCCTCCAGTCTACAGATGAGAAAGAAGGGGCCACAAGCTTGTCCAAGGTCACACAGCTGGCTCAGCACAAGCGATATCTTTCCTTCTTCCTAAGGAACAGGGATGGTTATGAGATAATGGAACAAAAGGTTCTGGAAAATCTCAGATCAGTACAAATATTAGGGATTAGAAGTCCTAATAAGAGAGGCAGGCTAGCCTGGCCTAACCAAAGCAGAGGTGCTGATGCAAGGACTCCGTCTACCCCATACAGTGCCTCTGTGCTCACAGCCAGACTCCCCAGGTCTTACGACACATTCACAGACAACTGGAAGTGGCTTCTCTGATATACCTAGTTGGCCCATTCAATGGTAGAATTATCAGGCTGACCTCACTGCTAGCTGCCAGCTAATGACTCTATCCCAAAATGTGCAAAACACATTCCCCAGATTACAGTTTCTTTTCCCCTCTTTCTCTCTCCTCTTCCATTCTGTTATGGCTTTTATTTGACTCCATCTACCAGCTGACTCCCTCATACATGATAAAACAGCACATGTGTGAAAGGACTAATTAATGTCCTCAGTTTTCTTTCATAGAGATCCTATGATTGCATGAAAGGATCTTCAAGGCTGTGCTCAACTCCTTCCAAGTAGGACTTACTGGGTTGGCTCTAAGAGCAGCCCACCTGCTGGGTGTTCTCCTCTATGACTCCCTCCCTTTACACTTGTATGTGGGTCAGTAGTAATCGTTCCTCTGCCACCTCTTTCACAATGGCTAAGCCCTCTGTATCTGGCCCCAACATCTCCTGGCCTCTCATCTCCTCCCTTTCTACTTGTTTACCAGTCCCCAAACATTGTAGGGGGTACACAGATGCCTTGAGGTGGTGATGATTGAGGGAAAATCTACTGATATACATCACCTCCTCCTGTCATTGCTAGAAGCACCACATTTTATGGATCATCTCATCCAAGGGTTTTCAGATTATGCTCCTGGTAGGGTTTGCCCAGGACTGAGGGGTTTCCTAGGACATGGGACTCTCAAT